CTTAGACGCTTAAAAAGTAGTACGTTGGCTAAAACTGCTGCTTTAATTTTTCGTTAGTTCAACTGTATAACAAAAGGGCAATTATTAAAAAAAAACTCTTACTTTTTTATTTCTATAAATCTTATTAGAATTTTTTTGACTCGGGCAAATTTTTTAATGAGAAGTCATAAGAATTCACGGAAATACCACTTACCATGCTATTTTTTCAACTGTATTAATTATATGTCAATATGCAGCTCTAAACAATAATTTCAAAGTACCTATTTTTGAACAAATTCACTTTATCAGTCAAGAACAAAATCTTATATATTTGTTTGATATTTATTAAAATCTGATATTTTATTTTTTTCAATTTATATTTAAATTATTATCTCAAGGAATTGGAGCTGTACTTGTTATAATGCAAAGTAATTTAATTGCGTATAAAATTTGCTGTATATCCAGAAAAAAATTGTATGCTCTATCATTCCTTAAAAATTATTGTAAATAATCGCAGGTTAAGGTTTGTGAAGTTAGTAGCTCATTTTGACTTTGTAGATAGTTTATCACAAAATGCAAATATTCAGCTCTACGCTTGGAAGACGTCAGCGTAATAGGATAATTTTTTTTGAGGTTTCAAATTGTGAGTTTACGTATGAATAGTTGGTCTTATCATCTTCTTGTTGCAGAAATGCAAGCGGATTGCACGCTATTGTGTACATAATTTTAACCAGATTGATGGGAGAACGAAATGTAAATAGTCACTAAAGACCAAATCCAGGACATGATGCATAACAAAACGCACAGATAGACTCATTCTATTGAGATTCAGCAGTGAACTCACGACCAACTACTCACGCCATTACGTGAAACACGAAGAAAGCTTTGGATGCTTTAATATCTTAGATAACACTTTCAAAAATACTGGCTGATTATGATTTGGTTTGCACACATAAGCGCCTTTTACGAAGACTCCACTGACGTGAAATATTACACTAATGTTGAAACCGATCCACTTGCACTACTGAATGAATGGCACAACAAAGTAATGTTCATAAACGAATTTATATTTCTTTTTTTTCTGAGGATAGTCATCAAGGGACAGTGGAGGCGAACAGAAAATAAAACCAATCCGACCACTATTACTGCATTCCTTACCGCTATTCAATGTGGCATAATGGTTTGGGGTGCCATCAGACAGGATAGCATATTACCTCTGGTGTGATTCAGAGACACATTCATGGCAAGAAAATAAGTTGATGAAATGCTGTAGCCGAGTTTGTTACATTACATCCAGTGGATGCAAAATGGTATTTTCCTACAGGACAACCCATAAAGGCATTCATCAGCAAATAAGCCTTGCAGAAGTCTGGTTGTCTTCTTTATTTGCATTGTCTCTTGGTCTCTCATCGATCGAGTATTTTGGAACATAATTGGTGTTGGTATTTACTTGATCTTCTCCAGTCTCAATCGGAAAACGAACAAAGGAGAAAATTTGAGAGGATATGAGCTTCTTTTCCTCAGGGCACTATCTGCAAGCTAATTGAATCTGTACCTCAAGGATTGCTGCTTGTATCGCCGTAAGAGGTGATCCTACTTCGTATTGATCCCCCTGTGTTTTCATTGCAGTGTTAAAATGATCTTGTAAGTAAAATCACATGAAGACGTATATTCTCTGTCTGTGTATGAAGTTAATGGTGTTGTATTTTTTATGTTGGGCATTGTATTAAATATATTTATGTGCTACTATTCTTATTTTTCTTCAATGGCTCGAAGGCCCTGGGTAGGCCCTGAACTTATCCAGAAGTTTTCTCCAGGCATCTCTACTCTTGGCAGCTGTTTTCCAGTTTTTGACTTTTAAAATATTTAAGTCTTTTTCGACGCAGTCAATCCATCTTAACGAGGGCTGCTCCGATGTCTATTTCTCATGGGCTTCGCCAGAAAGATTTTCTGCAGCAATCACCTTCGTTCATTCTAGACAGATGACCAGTCCATTTAAGTTTCTGTAATTTGACAAATGTGCTACTGTTATTATGCATTATTAGCAGATAATGAGTTATGTGCGAGAAAGAAGAATAACAAACATCATATTTCCATTTAATATATTTTGCTTCAATGTAATCCTTGTAATTTGTCTCTCTCTTTCTCTGTCTCAATATATAGGAAAGAAAAATAACTCACTCATTCACCCAACAAAAGACCTCTGTAACTATTACACACACAGGCTTGCAATTTGGCACGCATTTTTCTTTTGTTGAGAAAAGATAAGCTAAGAAAGTGTATTGCAGAAATCGGCTTCCATGAGAGGTTGCGGGATGTTATCGAAAAAAAATTCCATTTTTGAACTATTAGACTTACAGACTGAAAACTTGACAAGCATTTTTTTTATTTAGAAGAGATGAGCTGAGAATAGGTTTTACGAGAATCAATTACAAAGAAGGCGTGAAGGTTCTTTAGACAACAAAAAAAAATCATGCTCTGAACTATTAAATCTACAGACTTATAATTTGGCACTAGGTTTCTTTTCCGGGAAATCATAAGATTTCTGTACTTTTTTCATTACTGGGAGTTATACTTCGTTCCCGGGATTTCCCGGGAATCGCACGGGGCTTCAATTATCTATGAGATAGCTATTTTTGACTTGACTGTAGATTTCAACCTCGGACATCGTTAGCTGACCCTACTGAAGCAATTTGCGATCGTTCACCCCCAACTTTCTGGACGAAGGAATGCTCGTTATTCCAACTGTGGGGTAAGAGTGCAATATGGGAAAGAAAGATTAGCGCTTTCGTTGGATTGGTGAGAACTTTTACAAATATATATAGCCGTAGAAAGAAATATCTGTCCAAATACTGTCTAGCAGTGTATCGAGCTTCTTTAACAAGCAATATTGGGTTTTAAAAGCAATCGCATTTCATAGCCAACCATCACTATTGATCAAAGTTCCAAGATCTTGATTTATGTGGATAACGTAAGTACTAATACTTAAAACTATTATTTATTTAATCTTTTTTTTTAAATTTTCGAACGCTTGGGGAAATACTCTCCCCCAAACTGTTTGGGGGAGAGTATTTTTATAAGAAATCTCGCGATTTTTCTTATTTATTGTTTTTCTAAAACTAACTTTGGCATGAGATTCTTATATTAATATTTATTTATATTTATGTAACAATAATATAGCAATTCCATAAACAAGAAATCGGTTATAGAAATAAAATATCTTAAATACAATAATTAATATTTTTAACGTACATAATTGGCACTTCAGTAGCAAATGAGATTTCAAATATTTATTAATATTTATCTCTTAGTAGCAACATTAAAAAAATAATTGATTCAGCTTTGACTGGTTAATTTTCAAACGCATGTGAGTCAGTAAAGGATTATTAATTTTAGTAATTATTTTACAAATGTGATCCCCTCCCCGCCAGATCTTTAATTTACAAAATCTTTAATTATACCATTTTTTTAATGTCTGAGTGATAAAAGTATAAATTACTTTTGCTTTTTGAAATCCTGTTTTAAAAACAAATAATCAATTTATTATATATTTTTTGTATTTTTATCTCATTATATAAATAAGTATTAATTTTGGAATTTATATATATCCTTATTTTATATAATTATTATTGATTTTATTTAAAAATAACTTGTTTTTAAATTTTTTAAATTTTTATATATTTTTGGGAATTTCGGGAACGACAATTACATTCCCGGGAATAGAAAAATCCGGGAAATCAGAAACCCTATTTGGCATACATTTTTCTATTGTTTAGTAGAGATCCGTAAGAGGTCGCTTTTGAGGAAATCGTTACCTTAAAAGAGTTGCGAGCGTAATATAGTAAAAAACTCAAGCTTTCATACCATTAAATCTGCAGACTTTAAATATGGCAAGCATGTTTCTTTTGTTGAACAGACATCCGACAAGGACAGGTTTGGGGGAAGTCCACTTCCAAGGTAATATACTAAGGTAAATACACTAAAAATTTATGAATTCAAAGTCTTGCCCTTTTTAAATCAAGAGGTAAGAGCTGTAAGAATTTTTTAAATTAAAATCGGAAGTTGAATCTTAGGACTTAGATATCAATAATTTAAAAACGATACCACATATTGTCCTTTTATATTAGAAGAAATTCACAGAACAAAGAACTTCGCGAGTCCTTGTCATTTAAATAACAATTGTTTACAAATAAAAATCGTAATCGTATTCATTTTTAAGCGCTTGAAATATTTTTTATATTTACTTTTAAAAGAGGATTTATATAAGTTCTCCCCATACAACCTGTTGCATAAATTTAAGGGACGATGGAATAAAAGAAAATACTTGTTTTCAAACTTGTAATCGGAGTCGTAAAAGTTATTCTAAGGTTCTGAATACTTTCTCGTATCTTTAAAGTTATCTTCATTGGGAGATTATACATAATTACAAAATAAAACATTATGAATAAAGTTCAAAAGAATTACATATCTGAACGAAAAATATAATATCGAAAAGAAAAAAACAACAACCCTTAACTTTCATCACAGGTCACACTTCAAAAATGATCTAAAACAAATTAGGAATTAAGAATGCTTATTCTTTAAAAGTGGTATAGTTTATAAATAATTTAATTATACCACCCGTTTAACTATGGAAACGGAATAAAAGAAATTCAGATGATTAGATAAAATAAACAATCTTATATATAATTATAATTTAAGAACCCATGCTAGTGATAAAGTCAGTTGATAGCAAAATTATTGTCAAAGTTTTATTTCTTTTTTTCAATTCTTACTATTTGTTCACTCTCTCCCTATGTGTATATATATATATATATCTTGTTCAAATTTTAATCGTTAATAAAATACTTTCAATTCATCCATTCAAGTTAAAATATATTTTTTAAACTTGTAATGAATGACACTTATGTTAATACAGTTTTTTCAGTTATTAATTTATTCATTAAATTGAAAAATGAATAAATAGTAACAAAAATTAAAATAGTTCAACAGCATATAAAGAAAGGTAAATCCTTCGTTGTGTCTCTGTATCGCAATAAATAGCGCTTTGGAATTCTAATCCAAAAGTCGTGGGTTCGAATCCCATCGAGGATAGCTTAACTTTTGAGAATGGGATTTATTTTTTGCTATACTATTTTAATAGAATAATTAAATTTAATTGACGAATAAATAGTAACAAACAAACAAAAAATAGTTCAACACCATATAGTAAGGAAATGGAAAATTGCAAGGAAAATCACTTTCTACTTTGTCGCTTAATATTGTATTGTCATATGTATATACATGTTTATATTAATTGTAACTATTTAATAAAAAGTAACAAAAATAAAAATTTTCTTAGTTGACCTAAGTAGGAATTAACTAAAAAATATTTTTTTTATATTACTTGTTCATGAACAATAGACTCGTCAATGATATCGTCACTATTTTTATTTTTGTGTCATTTTCTGTTAAAAAGCTAAATCCTATATTTGTGTAGTTTCACATACAAATTACACAGTTTTTGAAATAATATATCGCACTAATTTTCACCATACTCATATACCCCATACGAGACTAGTAGAATGAAATTTTTCTAAAAAAGCATTAACTCCCAAAAGTTCACAGACCACCAGCCAGGTCCCTCCGGCACATAAGCATGACGAAAGAGGGTTCAAAAAATCGTGACATACGGACGCACCGCCGGATGGATTGATTTCTTGCGGAAGTCCGAAATATTAAATGACGTCGAGGGGGGAGGGGTAGCTCCCCCGGATTGTTTTCGGTCGAGCTACCAAATCGGAAGGAAGTCCAGCTCTCCGAACGACTCCTTCAAATCGTAAATGAGACAGAGTGTAAAGCCTCATTTTTCAAAGCCTCGTGACGACATTTTGTTGGAGTATCCAACCTTCCCCAGCCACCCCTCTTTCACTCGTCGGTGAGGGTTGATTAGACTCGGTGGGGTGGGTGCAAACGATCATTGATTCGAAACCATTATTAGAAACAGGAAATATTTGTTTTGGTCCCCGATGATCAGACGAATAAGGTGAATTCAGTTGTGTGCATAGTCAATTTTTCGGTTGTTTTTAAGCCAAAGAAGAAATAATATTTAAGGCATGAACTCTGCTTATCAAATTAATAATTTCCTAATATTAATAATGTATTCTTATTTTATAGCATATAGAAATCAGCCGGTTTTATATGTGCTATTTGTATACAACTTTTTTCTGCCCAAATGAGCTCACGTTTTTTCCTTTTTGCAAAATGTTTTACATTTCTCTTCCTGTATTATACTATGCGTAATAAAAATAAACTTTCCTTTCATACCTAATGAATATTTATTGAATGTTTCCAAATTCTAAGGATTTTAAAGGAACATACATTTCTTGCATACTCCATCTCATACTGAAGGGTTCAGGGGATAAAAGGAGACACTAATAAGAATTTCTGGTTTCCTTCCTACAGCAAGGCATAGTCTGCTTTAAATTTGCTACTGCTCATGACTTTTTCAGTAATACCTGTATAGAATGGAAAGACAGATTCTAACTCTTGCCCGAACCATTACGTACTCATGACTGAAGTTTATCTCAAAATATGCACTGTTGTTTTAAAGTATATTTCTTTAAATGCTATTGACTATGCCTTTGATGACTTTTATCGTTCTATACTATATTGGGCTGTTCGTCGACTTACGACCGAAAGTTCGAAAACGGGCATAGGATAAAAAAAAATATTTGAAAATGGGATATTTTTCTGACCAAAATTGTCTTCCAATTTAGACTAAACTTTCCAAACATATATATATATTATATATATATATATATGTAATAGATGTGGCCGTTGTGAAAGGTATTCTTTATATGAGATTGATGAGGCAGTCTTGTGATTAATTAAAATCTGTTTTATTCCAAATCTTGAACACATAAAGAAAGACAAGGACGACACAATACAAGCTACAGCCGGCTACATGTTGAAGCAGACAAATACAGAAGCGAAAGAGAAAGAGGGCGCGGTCTCCAGGAATCTCAGTTTTTGTAGGCGGCTCAAATCACATGATCTGAGTGGGTAGCTAAATGTAGTTTAAAATATTCCCGTTAGGCGTTTGGAAAGTTTATTAATTAAAAGTGTATCCTGAAGGAATGGACCAGATAATTAAAAGATATTGAAAAGGATTATATTACTGGGATTATTACATATATATATATAATAAATTTAAAAAATAACAAGACTTAACTATCAACTAACAAAGCCAGGAGATAGAAACCAGATATTAAGATACATAACTATATATAAGAAGAAAAAATTGGCAGTTATAGAGACTGCCGATAGAAGTGAAAACTTAGAATTTGAATATTAAAATTTGAAATTTCATAATGTTTGAATTAAAATTATCAACATCAATCTGGTTTCCACATCTATTGACACTCCGAGCAACAACTAAATGCATGTTTATATGGTTTTTTATTATTCAAATATGTTACGGGCTGTACTAGATCATGACAAAATATAAATACAATTCAATTGAAATAACAATTAATATACAATCATATTATTTATGGATAGTATTTGTATTTACTTAAATTTCAATGTACTTGATTTTTAACATTATTTTAATTGTTTGCATCATTGTCATCATTAATTTCAACAATACTTAGACTTTTTGTACTTTCAATTATTTCATTTCGTTCTAAAAATAAGATACAATAGGCTTATGGTAACTAAAGTAAGAAAGGAAAATGTTGGATTCAAATTTATCTAAGTACCGCGTAAAAACCGCATCGATCGTCATTTTTTATTTTGTAGTACCTGAGTTTTCGATCATTGAACATATTTAAATTAAGTGTTTCATTCAGAAATTCAATTAGTGGTAGATTTTTATCATCTGCAAAGTTAATATTGAAGTCTCCACTTAAAATCATTGGTACATTTTGATATTTTTCACCAAATCATTTTCGAGTTTTTCAGAACCTTCTTTTGTATAAATCATCAAATTTTCGAATAAAAATTGTTGTATCTGTCTCATAGATTTTCCAGGCGAAATATAAACGGCAACCATTAATATGTATTACCCATTCTCGGAATCACAACGAGCAATGCACAGTATATACACATTGAACTTTTCACTAAATCCATTCAATTTCACTTATAAGATATACACAGTATTATACGTCAGCTGTATAGCTACAGATATACTCCTACAAGCATGTCGATGACGCGAACGCGCGAGATTTCACCCATTCAAAAAGTGTCTTAAAGCGAACAGCACACTGCGCTTGCGCCAGTCAGAGCATGTCGGTGACGCGAACCCATAAGATTTTCTCCTACCAAAAAGTGCCTAACGCCGCTAAAGAAGTGGAAATGTATATTGAACAAGATTTAAACAAACGTATGTATAGCAGGAAACAGAGTTAGAACTTTAATATATATGTATATATATATATGAATTTCTTAATATGATCACTATTCTTGACGATTGATGTTGCATATTCAATATTAGTGAGGAGGCAATCTTGGGGTTAGTTATTCTTGTTTATTTTACACTGAACATGTTAGACACACATATGGAACGGAATCACAAAGAAACATACACAAACAACAAAAATACACAAACACTAGCTGCAGCCAGTTACATGATGAAGACAGACAAAATAGAAGAGCAAAAAGGGACGGTCTCCAGGAATCTCAGTGTATATATAGTCGGCTCAAATCACATGATATGAGTGGGCGGATAGATGTAGTTGAAAATACTCTGGTTAGGCGGGTAGCAAGTTTATTAATTGAACTTGGGTCCTGAAGGGTTGGACCGTAGATAGTTAAAAGTTATTTAAAAGGATTATATTACTGGGATTATTACATATATATATATATATATATAATTATATATGTAACATATATATATATTATATATATATATATATATATATATATATGTAAGGATAATCAAATTAGATCTAAAATTAACTCCCTAATCCACTTCTAACTTTTATTCTCCGCTTAGATCTTCAAGTATTAAATTTATTACCCAGTTCGGGAATGGATAACACATGGCTTTAAAAGATCTTGCCTCTCCTACCATTAATTTTTATTACCTATATGTTGTGCTTAAATTCTCAAGTATACCTCTTCAATCAGAAGCGTACTTGAAGAGCATATGGCTTCTGAGGGGAGCCTTAGAGAGGTATATATATATATATATACCTCTCAAAAGTGTAGAGAGGTATATATATATATATATACCTCTCTACACTTTTGTTTCTTGTTACATCTGTTTTTATCTAATTTTAATACAATATTCTTTTGCTCCATTTATTTTCTTGATATGTTTCTTAACATCTAATTCCATTCTTTTTTAGCTTTGTAGGAAGGACATTTTCGTCTCTTACAGTTTTATTTCATTTTATTATTCTCTCTCTCTCTCTCTCTCTCTCTATATATATATATATATATAATCAAATACAAAAAAAATTGCTTTAAATTTAATAAAGTGTCAAATTTGAGTTTTCATTTAAAATTAATAGTTAGAACATTATTTAATGCAATATAAATAATAAGCATACGAAATGCAATTAATATACATAAGATTTTTCTGCCAAATTTTTAATCACGATTTGACGATGTTTTACTGTATACTCTGAAATATACATTGGTAATATCAGTAATGTGTTTATTTAAATTTTTTAGATTCAAAATTCGATAGCTAAGGAATTATTTTTCTATATGTAAACATATTATACTACTAAATAATTATTTCACACTTTCAATTAAATAATAACTAAAAAAAATCTGAATAATTTAAATCATTTTTCTTTTTGATGCATTCTATTAAAATTCGAGAAGAAAAAATCGATGACGTTTCTCATTTTACTGAAAGCTGTGATATGACACCTTATATAAATTCAAAAACCTAACCAAAACTTGTCATATAACGCACAAACAAAAAGCATTTTAGAGGGAAAAAAAGAGAAAAAAAATCCCTAATGTTGACGCATTCAAGATTTCATCAGAGCAAAGTCAATTCACTCTAAAGCAAAGCTACCGTAACAAATCGGAAGAGAGTTCCAAACCATCAAGCCCGGTTGACCAAACCGAACCTCCCTCCCCCCTTCGTCCCTCCC